ATAAGTGTTACAAGTTTAATAGTTAATAGTTTATAGTTAAGTAATAGTTTTAAAGTGTTTAAAAGTTTCATAGGTTTAATACATAGATAAGATAAGATATTCCTTTATTTGTCCCACATTGGGGAAATTCCGGTGTTGCAGCAGCAAAGTGGATAGAGAAAAAGAAACCAGTATACAAACAGTTAAAAAGTAGGAAAAAATAATAAATAAACACATTGTACAATAGAAAGAAAAAGTAAGGACTACAACAGCAACAGATAACACAACAGATACACAAAAAAGACATATACAATGTATTTAATATGAGCAGCAGCGTATATATTATTATAATAATATATATTATCCTCCTGAAACCAAGGAAAAGTGTCTTCCAATTTACTTTTTGTCTGTTTGTTGTTGTTTGTTTGTTTATACTTATGATAATAGTGAGTTTTTACTCTTTTATTTATTTTACACAACAGGCTGAAAGCACACTTCAGCACATGTGACATGCAAAGGGAGATGTGGAGGATGCTGGGTACCAGTGCCCGTGAGCAGGTTTCGGTAGGTTGCTGCTCAAGGCACCCCGGAGCACAAAAAAGGGGGGCACCTCCTCCACTTAAAAAATATTGTGGTCTTGGGATTCTCCGGTGACCTCCGTCCCAAGCCAAGTCCCTACACACTGAGCACTCTTTCTTTTTTTTCTCTTGTACATAGTGTTTAATTATTTCCCACTCTTATTTTATACTGCTTTTACTCGTCCACTTTGCTGCTGTATCATTGGAATTTCCTCACTGTGGGAAAATAAAGGAAAATCTATCTATTATTAGCACCTTATTCACTCAGTTTCTTTTACTGAACCTCATTGTAGTTGATATTTTATATTTTAAGTTATTCTATCTATTTTTGTGTGTTGTGTAAAGGGAGTCGCGCAAAGCAGAATTTTCATGTACGTATAACCACGTTTCTACTGTGCATATGACAACAACTCTGAATCCTTTTCCTTATTATTCACATGACATAGTTGAAATCTGAGATACGCGGTTTAATTTCTTAAAATAAATGTTTCATATTAATTCTAATGTTTCACATGTTAGGAGTAAGTGCTTTCTACGACGCCATGGATCAATCCTTGATCCCCAGTAACTGTAATCGCTGTTAGCTGTCTGTCTTGTGTAATCTGTATCGGTATTGTGGAGAGCTGAGCTTTAACGCCGTCCTGTTTCCTCTCTGCATGTTCACTTTAATTCGGAGTTTAAAAAGCTTTTTATTCATTTTTATACTGTTTTTTTTTGACAATCTAGCAAATAAAAGGCGCGTTTTGTAGGTTTAACTTTTATGAACACATTTAACATGTAAGCAGTGACTACACACACACACACACATTCAATTCAGATGGTTTTATTGGCCTGAAGTAACTCTACATATTATCAAAGCAAGCGTTTGGAATTAAATATAATAACAATAAAGGAAAACAATGGACAATATTTACAATAAATTAATTGTAATCGATACTGTTGGTAATGCTGTGACTATCATTGACTCAATCAATCAATCAATCAATCAGTTTGTGTCAACTAAAAATGTCATTAAAACAGTAGTAAGTGTGTGTTAGAAAATGAAAATAATATATTAAAAATTAAAAATAAAATAAATAAAATAGTAAGCGTGTGTGTTAAACACAAAAATCAATTATTTTATATATTTATCCGTCTGAGTTTCCACTGGTTGTCCTCAGTTCGTGGCATGAGGAGACATATTTTGCTGCAATTACTTGACATTTGGGCATTTCTCCCAGTGAATAGGGGAGTTTCTGTGTGTCTTTGGGAAACGTTTGTGAGCGTTTTGTGGCCTTCAGTCTGACTTTCTCTTCTTGTTGAACAGGACCTTACTGGTTTGGAGTCGATGGACCAATGTCGTCGTACACTAGAGCAGCATAATTGGAACATCGAGGTAAAGACACGGTCAAAAACACAGACGTCCATGTCTCTGTTTACCGTTTTCTTCCCGTACAGCTTCTGTGAACTGTATTCCGCTCGCTTTCACTCATCTGCTTTTCTTTTCTTGTGGTTTATTGACGGACTTGACTCAAGTGTGATGGTTCTTAAATGTGTTTCAGGCTGCAGTACAAGACAGACTTAATGAGCAGGAAGGAGTGCCCAGCGTGTTTAACCCTCCACCATCCAGACCGTTGCAGGTCAATACAGCAGACCATAGAGTATATAGTTACATCGTCTCAAGGCCACAACCCAGGGTACGTCTGCACGTTCTTTTAATCCTTCAGGGTGATATCTCTGCAGGGCTGTTCGATATTTAGTTTCACTGCTCAAAATGAGATCGTGGATTTCTCTCTGGTGCTAAATACTTTCTCAGTCAGTCACTGGTGTGTTCTTTGAGGCGTGTTCAGTCTAAGTGATGCTTCATTTTTATCCTTTTTATAATGTTTTTATATTTGACAAAAATTCAAAAAGCGCTCATGTCTTCTACTTATTTTATTCCACTGTTTAAATGCTAATAGACTGCATTGGTTCTTCTCTTCAGGGATTACTAGGATGGAGTTACTACTTGATAATGCTACCTTTCAGATTTACATATTACACACTTCTGGACATATTCAGGTAATTCATGCACGTTGATTTCAACTTGTAGCCGCTTGAAGGTGAAAGTTGTAGCCGAGGGAAGGTTATTGATTGCAACAGTGTCTTTCTCTTCCAGGTTTGCCCTGCGGTTCATCCGGCCGGATCCTCGTGGTCGCGTGACAGACCCTGTTGGAGATGTCGTGTCCTTCATTCATAGTTTTGAGGAGAAGTATGGTCGGTCGCACCCTGTGTTTTACCAGGGCACATACAGCCAGGTGAGTTCAGAGACTATAGACTGCAGATGATGAATTACAAACCCACATTGTTATTACAATATGCTGAATTTAGTTTTCTCACCCTGAAACATGTAGGCACTGAATGATGCCAAACGGGAGCTCCGGTACTTATTAGTGTACCTTCACGGAGAGGATCATCAAGACACTGACGAGTTTTGCCGGTATAATACTTCTTACTTTACTCACATCACTTGACTATCAGTCGTGTATTTATATATAAACTGTGTGTTTTATATCCACATGCACCTGAAAAGGGTTTCACCTGTGTAATGGTTTGTTTTGTGCTTCTGATCTGTCACTTCCCAGCTCCACGTTATGTACAGAAGAGGTTGTAACCTTCCTCAACACGCGAATGCTCTTTTGGGCATGCTCAACCAGCAAGCCTGAAGGCTACAGAGGTATGCACATTTATGGGTATTTAACCCACCATTTGTTGTCAGTCGGCTGTTAGTGTGACGTGTAATGGCTCGGACTCACTGCCTGCGTGAACAGTGCATGACGGCTACCTCACTGAAC